AGACACAGAAGGTAATGACGGTCCGCACGCGAATCCTAATCCTAACCCCATTGCCGATCCCTTTGCCGATCCCTTTGCCGATCCGAGTGAATTTGAGAGAGAGAGAGAGAGACTTGATAATAAATTTTCAATAGAAAATACATCTATTTTACATTAGATTTAAAAAACCTATAAAAAAATTTCATTTCATTTGTATAATAAAAATCAATGGTTGGCCACAATAATCACAAGACCTGATACTTGGGGCTCATCTCAATTGTGTGTCGCAAATGTGTTCGCAATTTATGAAAGTTTTGCACCCTTTATATGCGGGTTATACATGGGTGCGGGTAATGCACGGAATTTTAGGGTAATATCCCTGCCCCATTTACACAAACCCCTTAACGACAGCCCTAAACAATATCCATAGAATTTACCTTTTTAAAAATAAATGTCTTATATTGTGTAATATAGACCACTATTCAGTGTAATCTCATTTCAATATCAAGGGTTCACACAATTGTATGCAAAAAAAAAGTTTAGATAATTACAAATTTAATTGTTACAATTATGTTTGCAAATAATGGAAGGAGCCGTACAAACCGGGCCACAGCTATAGTGTCCTCGACCTCAACGGTTCCCAATCGGCGATAGATTTCAAACATGAATTCCTGGCCGCGATTGGGGGCACCTCTGCTGTCCAGATAGGCATAGATTACGCTTTTATTTGAGACCAAATAAGAGCCGAATTGGTTGTAAAAGTATTTGTGCGAAACGTATTCGCTCTCAGCTCCGGGTCCGCCGTAAACATTGAAAACTAACGGATATTTTCGTTTTGATTCGCTATCGAAATATTGCGGCACAAAAAGCTGAACATCGATCTCTATGTTAATATGTATTGAATATACAGTATAACTAATTAAACAGTATTTTCCATAAATAAACAATAAGTTTCGTACGATAGCGTCCGACCGGAACCTTCATGAAAATAGTTTTGGGAACCGATAGGTCTTTGAGTTTAGTGTTCAGGCGTTTATTGTCTTCGAGTGTATGAAGTAAGCGGTCGTCGACTGTCCGCCTGATCACCGATTGGGGAATATTAGGTCCCAAACAGTGATGGATATAATGTTTGGCCCCTTCGCTGAACGTGGCGTCAGAGACCAGACATATGTTAGTCTTATCGGTTGTATATGTGTTGATAAGACATGTGTGACACACGGGCTCTGCCTTCGCCGCCGCCGACGACTGGGTTAACGGAGCGCTCATTAAATGCTTTTCTCCCGGATTTGAAGGAAACGTTGCGGTAAAATAGCTGTCAATTTTGCTCATAATATATATGGCTATTGTTAGACAATTGTAAACCGAGTTTTGTTTTCTTACATTTTATCACTTTCTGTGTTTACGTTTAATATATCTTTCACTTCAAATACACCGGACGTTAAAAACGATGATTCGGCCGACTATTTAATTGACACAAGTATTTGATTCAGTTATAAGCGTTTGTATTTTGTATTGCATTACAAGACTAGTATTGAATGTCTGACCGAAACGGACACTTTGGCGATGTGTGGGAACACATCCCTCCCGTTGTCACTCATTTTGGGTACTTTTATAAGATATGACTCGCCGTCTGGTGTGACCACAATCAAGTCTAATCCGTAATTCGTAGAGAAGTCTATCCATCCACTACTCGATTGTAGTTTGAAATTCTGTTTAAATTAAAACCAGTGATTAGTTTATCATTGAATTTGTGATATAAATGATGTAAGACTTTACAGATATTGGCTCCCAATTGGCTCGACTACTATAGCAGGTCATGACCGACACGTTTTGAGCACGAGTCACCCAATTCGCACAAACAACATGATCGTCGACCCACTTTAATGTTGTCATATAATGATCTCTATTAATAAATAATACAAATTCTACTAATAACTATGTAACTATTTCAGTCAAATTAATTCAATACAAACCCGTAATCTGTGATATCTTTGGGTGGCTTTAAATGAGCGGTCAGTTTACCAATTGAGTCGTTATAATCACGCAATTGTGTCAAATCTATGCAATGAAGCGCAATCGTAGGGTTGGGTCGGCCCACTTTAGGGTACCTAACCATCTCGATCTTAGGGTACTGATTATGATAACCCTGGGCCAATTTGCCAGTGCTATAGAATGGCCAGATCATTAAGTCGACACCGCTGTCATCGATGGTGGTGTAGACCAACTTTGTTCCCACCGGTGATAACCAAAACGTCTTGGGAGAGTTCATTAAGATCTCTCGTCTGTACAGCCAATCGGGTATTCCGTTATATATAACCATATCTTCGCCCGTATTTGTAAGTCTTATCGGCGCTGCGTTTGCATCGGATTTATAGTAAATATCATTTTTGTGGACAAATATAACTTGAGATCCAACTGTTCCCCAATCGGCAAAAGTTATATACGTATCGTTTGGCTGTTGTGTGGGCACTAGTGCTGGCAATAAAGTGCTTTATTTATATAAAAGTATTAATTTTTATTATCTAGCATTTTAATTGCTTATAATTTTAAATAAATTACTATTTGGTATATAATTTAGTAATAAAGTTATATAAGCGCTTTTGAAAATAATAGATTTTTTTTATAAATAATGACACAAATCTCTCTCTCTCTCTCTCTCTCTCTCTCTCTCTCTCAATATTTAACAAACCTGTCATTAATTGAATAAATCCTATACTTTCCGACCGAACAATAGCTATAAATTAATTTAAACTCTTGTTTAAAGAGGAAATATTTGCGATCCGGAGATAATGAGAGTCCCTTTAGTCGTAAGCGTCCCTATTGTGACAAATCATTCAATTAATATTTTATTACTTATTAAAATCTATTAATTAGAAATAAGTGATTATTAAGTGAATGTATACTAACTATGGTTTTGTTTTGTATGATTATATCTGAAGTCAACTTTAATACATTAAAAATGCATAAATTGTTGTGAGAGTCGTAATGAAGTAATTCATAGCTGGAAATCCAGGTGCCATTAAAAAGACGGTAACTTAATTTAGCCGATATATAGTCAGTGAAAGTGATGCCCCGTTTGGGCGATAATGCGATTGGCTTTTGATCGGTAATATTGTCCACAAAACTGTGTCCATCGGATACTTTACCTAAAATATTGTTATAAAGATTTACATATGAATTGTAGACAAGTTTTGTTTAACTTTAATTTCTTTCTCACTATCAATGATCTCGTCATAAAATATAGCAAACGCCACAAACGCTATACTTATGGCCATTAATGCGATTAGCAATAGGACACCCAAATAGCGGCTCAACCGACACTTTCTCTGTACATCAAATTGTTACAACAATTTATTTCAAGTTTTAATACAGATTTGTCATTAAATCATTAAAAGTTTATTTTCAAGTAATAAATGCAATTAGTTTTAAATAATTTTATTGTATTGGATATATGGGGTGTTTATATATAAACTCACCGATTGGAGTCGGAAGAGGTGTGTTGTAGTCAATCCATTGCCAGTGTTGTTAACGGAATCGTTACTGTTATTCACACCATAAGTGCGGTTCACATTTGGACTGCCAGTGAGTGAAGTGGTCACCAGATTTGGCACTTCATTCAAATTGTCATTTATAACACTATTTCTGTTACCAAATGTTTTTGTCTGTTTATTCATAATTAATTTATTACCTATTTTTGCACTATTTTCAATCAATAGTTAATAATTAGAAAATTTATTTCTATATAACTATTGCCATCACTCGCGACACCTGTCATAACGAAATTATTTTATTGCATGAAATTCAATACATATTTTTAAACATTAGATGTTTTTTAAAATTATACTTTCAATGAATACAAAGAAATATAGTCATTAACACAATATGTTAGAATATTTACAACAATTATTTAATTACAAATAACTAGATTAGAGTTATTATGTAACCAGACAATTTTTGTCAAGAGTTGGCCATTAATATATCATATCTTGCTATTTACTCCATATTCATAAACATCACCAGTTTTTAAAGCTATACTTTTAACGTTAAATTGAGAGAGAGAGAGAGAGAGAGAGAGAGAGAGAGACTAAATTTTTGTGGTTTTAATATAAATTACAATACATAATATATTATGTGCTATATAATCGTTATCACAATGAGATACATTAAACTGTATAAAATGTACCTTGCCCACCCTAATGTTATAAAATGCTTAGGGTGCAATCGGGATTTATTGTAAATTATTACTAACAATATATTAAAATTGTACTGTTTTATTGTGGCAATTGTCAAAATATTTATGAAAAATGTATAACATTTATATAAAGTTTATATATAAAAAATATGTGTCAATTGTGTTTTGCCGTTGACATTGCCTTTGACAGCATTCACTCATTTCCGTCACACGTTATACATTTGGATCGGCTTTGCAATTGGGATTGGGAACGGCATTGGCGCTCGGACCACCAAGTACTTCAGCAACAGAATTTGCGGGGATTGGCTGAGGTTCGGGTTCAGCTGTAATTTATGTGCAATAATCAACTATTAATTTATATTATATTAGTTATACCATTTGGATCCGCCACCACAGTATAAGTCATGGTCAATACGACCACAATTACTAGCATTGTAGCTGAACGCATTTTAGTTAGTGTTAATTTTATACTTTGCGATTTATAATTGCAAAGTATCTGATAGTATAGATAGTATTGTAGCCGTTCTTATATAGGCAAATAAAAAATAAAAATGTAGTGATAATTTTTAACCACTATTCTGATATGAACAATGTGGTTTATAGGATCGTTCGGCCCCGTATTATACAATTTTAGTAGCGATATTAATTTTATGACATTTTATGCCTAACTCTTGGTATTAACTTTCATTTCATATAAGTTTTAATAGTTTATATAAAAAGTAAAGGCAAT